CTATAATAAAGGGGTTTTTGCAGGTGCCTTTGCCCTCGCTGATGAACGTGCTCTTCACCCATGAACCGCGACTTTCTCTCGCTGGTCCAGTATTTTTCTCTTCGTGCATAAAGCTTGTCGCTCTATGCTGGGGTTTGGTGAAGTTCACGAAACTACGCTTCTTTTGGCCATGTCTTCCACTTAATCCGAAGCACGATACACGGTAGGTTTTAAATTAAACACACCAACTTGAAAGGCAGAAAAAGTAATTGAGAAATAATGATATGTAATATAATCCATCACGTTATCATGTAATAGAAACGGAAAAAACTTGCTTGCCCTTCTTATCTGTCTCCTCAAATCTTCGGAGTGGAAAAGTTTGATTATGCTTGTTGGTAGAGCTGTGGCATAGCTATAGAAAAACGTGTAGTCGTACACACTGTTAGCAGCTGCTAAGTGCTTTCTTGCAAAAAACTGTAGTCATTCGAGAATCTTTTTCCTCTTTTCCTCACCAGAAGTAGAACTTGACGTACCATACACAATAACAGAAGAAGCAAAAGTGGGTTGTGGCAGCTTACGTTGAAGCGCGACTCTCTGACAAAATTCTGAGCTATTTTCTTTATTTCAAAAAGAAATTCGCCAAGGCATAGAGATTCGCAGAATATACATGGGGTGGGTGGGGTAGTGGTGGGTGGGTGGTATAGTGGTGGGTTGCATCGAACATTGTATGTTTTGGTCGAAGCTTTTGATCCTTACTCAGCTACTTATACAATTTGGAATTTCTTTGATATCTGCTGAGTTTCGTTCTGCCTTTGGCAACGTCCTGTACTATGCGCTGCTACCAATAACAATTCATTCTATAGATTCCAAGAAAATTAACTAAAACAGCGAAACTCTACGAAAATTTCTTTCACGCATCTGCGAGACGGAAGTGCTTGATCCCAGGCTGAAAAAACAGGGTAATATCGTTTGGCATCGTGTGCGGTTCAGTACACTCACGACCATGCCGTTTCTTATCTCTGCACATGGGGCCAGAATCTTTTTGTCTGGGTAAGATATACGGCACATCTGCGGATTGTGCCCGAATGTGTTGGGAACAAAAAGCCATGCAGAAGTCAAGCCTTACGTCAAACCTCATTGAATCGTTTCGTTTGAGATGTTGGTGAACAAATTCTGGTTAGAGAATCTGCGAGAATCTATCACTTCCATTTTCCTTTAACAACTGCCGGGAACTTCCGCAGAGATTGGGAATTCCCGCCAAGCCAAATGCGAAACTTCGGTAAACGTGCTGCGGAAGTTTTGAAGAATGCGAATCACAACAGCAAAAGAAAACACCCAAGTAAGATTCTTGCTCTGTTGCCTGCGAAGACTCGCTTACTATTTTCTGCGCTACGGATGATATGTTGGATAATGTCACTCTAGTCTTTGGCGAGAAAATATCGTGAAAGACAATACCAAAAACCAGCGGAAGTACTGGCAGCTCGAAGTACTGCGGAAGCTGGCATTTTTCGGACTTTTCACAGCGTTTTAACAAGTCCTACGGAATTTCCCGTTTTCAACCAGGGTGATGTGAAATTTCTGCAAGGTACCCGTTTTGACGTTTCCACTCATGTACCAGTAAACATAATCCTGCGGAATCGCTGCAAAATTTGCTTAACCTGCAGAAATACCGATGAATTGTCTGAGTGAGCCTCACCCGCTCTGCGATCGAGATGTCACAGAGTGGTTTTGGACGAATATAAAGTTCATGCCGTTTGTGCCAGTTATGATTATGATATCGCTTATTTGGGGATGTGTATTGTGCACTATGCATGTATACATAGAGATTTTGCAATATGTGTATTTCAGAGAGAATGTTCGGCGATGCTTTACGCTGAATCTCTATCGCTGTACGATGATAGCCGTGAACATCTGCCACATATTAGCTATATACATCGTCATATCAAACATAATTGCGAGTAGGAACGGTGGACGCCCAATCGTCGTCAAAGATGAGCCAGCTTGAGATCTTATTGAGCTAGTGTTGTAAAGTGTTCCAGTTGCGAAATTGTTGTTAACGAATACTTGCTGTAGGTTCAATTATTTAGCGTATATTAAGTCTGAATGGGTAATATCATGTACAGGTAATGTATGTATTTTATCTGATCAAAGATTTCGTTCTTTGCTGGACCTCGGTTAAACCATTGCTGTCCAGTCTTATTTCTATGCTGATGTATGGAGCTGAAATACGAGATGTGATGCTTAGGAAAACCTTAGAGGAAGAGCAAATGAAGTTTCCGCGTGTGTGGCTTCAGCGAAATTGCGATTCTTCCAAGTTGTCGCTTGTTATCAGAAATTAAGATCATTGCTATTTATGAGGCTTTGGAATATGGAATAAAAGGATAACGAAAAAATTTACTGTAGGTGTACAGTTGTGCCTCCGTGTGGAACTAAGCCAGATGCTCCATATCCTGCTGATTTGTATTACAACTCCAAAGAAAAACCGTCTTCGGTTTGCGTACGAAGCTTTATGCTGAGGAAGAAACTAGGCCATGAGGTAACGTTAAAAACTCAGCACGTTGTAGAAGAAATAGCGAAAATGATTTACTAGAAGTAAAAATTAAGTAAATTCGTAAATTTGTGAAAACTCGGTGACGCCTAAGGGAAGCAACAGTGAATGAAGATGTGTGGCTTGAGCACAAGTTGCAAAGCTCATGAACATTTTCTTCGCCTGGATCCAGCTAAAATGTCTTACCTGTAGTGCCCAAACATGCTTCAGGACTGCGGCTTTCAATGATCAAATCCACACGAAGTACATGGCGTTTTTTGGAAGTTTAACACATACTAATACTGAAGATTGTAAGGCTGTTGAATTTACTGGAAGCAATTTTTGCGACCAACATTCTGGAGCTTGGGTAAGTGATCGTCGTCGCTTCGGTTCAGCCCGTGAGCCTTGTCGTTAGTGGATTGACATTATTGTGCTGTTTAAGCAAATGCTTTCTTTATTTTTCTGTGCGATATAGTTTCCTGTTTGACATAGTTTGCAGTTTCCGCAGAATGTAATGACCATACCATTGACAGTACTGTAGAGTATGGCTTTCAGAAAGCAAAAGATATTGTGCCATAGAGTAGTGGGATTTTTTCTTGGAATCATATTCGTGTCAATTTAGCGACTTTGACTAACTTGAGATCACCGAATCACTACTGATAGTCTTTATCGTGCACATCGATCTCAGTGAGTCAAATCTGGTCCTTGAAAATTTCACGACCCCTCTTGTTCGGTACAGCTGAGACCAGTAAACAAGCTAGCGCTCTGAGCCATTGTCCGAATACGAGAAGCAGACTGTGTTTTGGTGGAGCAGCCAGTATCGTGCGAACTAGTTGTCATCGGTTCTCCAATTTCTCACCTAACATCTCTCAAAAACAGCCATAGCCTAGCATCTGACTTGCCAAAACATTCCGATAGAGGCTATGTTACAGTGTGTAATATTTCATGCATTTTTTGGGCATTAAATGCTTGTATGTACTTATATATCAGTGCTTGTTCGTTTGCAATTCGTCAGAATAAAGGCCACGGTCTATGGCTTTTCTGCATCGATCACCAAATTCAATTAGCGGAAAGCGAGAATTCATCATTTCTTTCCATCTTGGTTACTCATTTGATCTCTGCCAACGCAGCCAATCTTCGCTCTTCGAAAGTCAAGGCGACGGCAATACTTCCAAGCACATGAGGTTTTGTTTCTGTGCGCTTCTTCAGCCTTCTAGCGGCACTATCTTTCTTGCTTCATTCGCATTCTGCACTTATTTATGGGTTCCTTCCTTTTCTAATGAAGCGAAGTGCACGAAGGTCAAAAACATCATTTTCTTGGCGATTTGCTTAGAGGATGCACAGCCTTTGTGAGTACCCTAAAATCCCGCAGATAAGTCCGCCTGCAGATA